TCAACTATATGTAGTGCCGCTTTCACAATAGTTGACTACTTCGGTTTAGTTGTCCGTTTCGCAAGCGTCCAATGCGATGGACCTGAGTGAATATTTTAGCAGCTGTAGTCGAGTACAGAGCACAGATGGGGTCAGATGCGTACGACAACTACTCCTGGAGGATAATAGTTGTGACGACATTGTGTTTGGTAGTGTCTATGGTAATTGTGGGTCTACGATTCTACGTTCGATGGGTGATAATCAGAAATTTGGGACATGACGATTGGTTTTTGGCTGCAGCTCTGGTACGACGCTCTACTCTACCCCTTCACCAACACCGTCTACTAACATGTTTAGGTCTTATATATTGGAGTGGCTACTATAACTGCAGTCTGTAAGCATGAATTACACTGTCCACAGTCGACATGGATCTAACCAGGAATGAAGGCACAAAGTTTGGACTCGGCCGCCATATCTACACCCTCTCTGTCCAGAACAGATCCGTGTTTCTCAAGGTTTGTCAACCTCCAATGCAAGCGCTCGTCACTAACATACCGGCACCACGTAGCTTATCTAGATTGCGTCCATTGGATACGGAGCTGTCATCGTGCTTATAAAAATGACCTTTCTCTTTCAATACCGCCGTGTGTTTCTACTCCGCGACTTCCAGCGTGTGTGCGACCTGTTTCTTGTACTTATCGTTATATGGGCTGTGGGTGGGACAATGGGGGCTATCCTCAACTGCCGGCCTCTCAAACGGAACTGGGATCCTTTACTGCCTAGGGATTGTGCGGACTGGATGAATTTCTGGTTTGCTATAGGGATCTTACACGTCCTCACTGATGCGTTCATCTTCATTTTGCCTCTACCACTGCTGAGGACATTGCCTCTACTAAGATTTCAGAAGAGAATTCTAATGGTGATCTTCTCTCTGGGCTTTTTGTAAGTTCCCTATTGTCTTAGCGATGTTAGATGGCGAGCTTACGGAATCTCCCTCTCCTCAGCACATGTGCGATCTCTATTATCCGCCTTACTACACTCTGAGCTTCGACCTTGAGCGCAGATCCGACATGGACAATGGCAAACACAGTGATATGGTCCGTGGCTGAAGCTGCTTGTGCGATCGTCTGCGTGTGCATCCCGACGTTACGGCCATTTCTGCGGCGATTCAATGGCTGGCGGATGTATTCCTACAACCTGAACGAGTTGATAATATCACGGAGATTAAGAGAAAGGAATAGGAGGACGCCCGGGTTAGACGATATGGACAGTATTGGAACTCAAAATAATTTGTCTTCGCGGACAAGAATTGACGTCGAAGATGGATTCAACAAGGCCGTGAGCGGTGATGAACTTGGAAGGCTAAGGCCTTGCCATTTGTCTAAACTAGGGCCAGCCGACGGACTAGATTGCGTGTAATGGCGCTTCTACCTTAGTAAATGTCTATGGACCGACTTCACGGGTTGGCCGGCTCATGTCCGGCCCTTTACTCGGCAGGAGTTACTCCATCTTATGCGACCAGCGAACAGAGAAGAGGGAGCTGGGGCAAGCTGAGACTGATAGTGTGGACGATGAGGAACTCGCTAATGCTTGTGAGGCCACGCAACGGCTTATCCATAGAGCTCTCCAGGCCTGCCGGTCTGATACCATAGGCCGGTCGGCCTCGGGGTGTGTCAGCCGACGTGATGCCGGCGCGAGGAACAACGAAATGCCTACTAATTACCTCCACGCGACGCACACGTTTCAGGCCTGGATCGGTTGCGACCCCCTGTTTGCACTGCTTTTAGCACTAGCTTCGACCCAGTCCTTGAAGTACAGTGCCTGTGCACCTAACGAGCCACCCGAACATCATAACATTGTAACCATCTCAACTTCAACGCGTCATAACTCCACCACTATGGGTCCGATTCAGGAAGCGATTGAAAATATCGAATCGCGTGAAGACAGCGCATCTTTCTCTCATCGTGAAATTGCAAAAAGACTCGGGGTTAATAGAACGACGTTGGCACGAAGGCACCAAGGGAAACAGCGCCCAAATGCAGAGTACCACCAACAACAGCAGTTACTCAACCCACAACTGGAGCATGAACTCATATTATACATAGAAAGATGCGTAAGGCGAGGCTTGCCACCGATGCGGGAGACGATACAAAATTTCGCGACGATGATAGCGAAGTTGGAGGTTTCAGAAAGCTGGGTTACTCGGTTTTTTCGTCGCCACGACGCCCAGCTTGCCACCAAATAGAGCGCCGGGATCGATCGCAACCGGCACCAGGCCGACTATCAAGAAAGATACAAGCTGTAATTTGAACTGCTGCATTCGAAATGCGAGAGTACGGCGTTGACGAGCGCAACATGTACAATATAGATAAGAAGGGCTTCTTCGTCGGCATCACGAAAGCGACTAAAAGAGTCTTTACAAAGGCACTTTAGGCTTTAAGAGAGGCGACCGCAGCCCTCTAGGATGGCAACAGAGAATAGGTAACGCTTCTAGCTTGCGTATGCGCTTCTGGAGAGTTATTACCGCCGGCTCTGGTGTACCAGGGCTCATCCGGGATTTAATTGGGCTGGACTGACGACGTAGAGGTCGGAAAACACGAGGTTTTCTTCTCAAACTCACCCTCAGGATGGAGCAATAATGATATAGGTTTGGCATGGCTTAAACGGGTCTTTGAGCGCTTCACGAAGCAGAACGCGAGACGAGATTACCAACATCTGATCCTCGACGGCCACGGCAGCCATGTAACCACTGATTTTATAGATTTTTGCGACGCCAATCGAATCATACTTGCTATCTTTCCCCCGTACTTAATCCACAGCCTTCAGCCGCTTGACGTGGTGCTGTTCTCGCCGCTTTCGAGGTACTACACCACAGCGCTCAACCGCAAGCTCCACCAATCGCTAGGCCACACGATAAGCGCGAAACGAGCTTTCTTTACAAACTTCTGAGCGGCGTGGAGCTCTACGATGAGACCGGAGACTATAAGGAAGAGTTTTCAAGCTACAGGCGTGTGGCCGATAGATGCGGAGCGTGTACTGAAGCGCTTTAACAACCGCACTTCGGGACAAGATCACGACTTAGAACTTCGAGACAGTAGCGGCAGCGATACACCCAAGCAGCTGGTGAATTGTTTTTGAAGCTGCGGTCGAGGATAAGGCCAAAATTAGAGCCAGAGAGCTGCTGGAGAGAGCTGAGTCGCTACAGGTCAACAACAAGCTTCTTCGCGAGGAAAACTGGGGTTTACAAGAAGCTCTCAACACCAAAAAGAAGCACAAGACGAAGCGCACTACTATGGACCTTCAACAGCGCGAGGAGTTTCATGGTGGTGCTGTCTTCTGGTCTCCAAGGAAGCTCCGTGAAGCGCAACGAAGCTGAGCAGTTACAATTCCAGAAAACTCACGATAGAGAGCTGAAAGCGGCAGCAAGCCTATATAAAAAGAAGCACGCTGAAGCTGCAAAGGTGGAGCGACAGCGTGCCAAAGAGGAGCGCGATCAGGCGAAGAAAGCGAGAGCTAAGGAACTGGCTGCAGCTAGGGCTCTCAAAAAGCAGCAACGCGAAGCGGCAACTTCACAAAATCTCGCGACACACCAAACAAGCTCAAGCCAAAAGCCTCACACAAAGCTGCAAATAATCCGACAAAGCGTCGTCGTGTTGTTGGTGTTCAAAGTCAGCCTGAGGCTGCATCTGAGCCGCCGCCTCCTCCACCTCGAGTCTTAAAGCGCGGGCGTCAAATCAAACCCACTGAAAAATCTAAATAGATAGAAAGTTTTGCATACATCTATAGAACAATACACCAAGAAATCTCACGATAATCGCTCTTGTACGTGGCTGTACAGCCTCATCTTTCTGGAGTTCTCATGTTGTTGGGGTGGCTCATCGGCTGAACTGGCTCATCGGGCGCACGGGCACGGTATGTGCTCAAGGCGGTTATCGGACTGGAGGCACATCTCTCCATATTTGCGTTTCGTGACGGACCGATTCGACTGCGGGGCGGTACCGCTGTAATTGCAGCGCGTATGTCGCCTGCGGCACTCTTGACATTGCGGATGTTCGGTCGAACACTGTCATGTGTCAGCATCCCTACACCTGATAGACCGGCATAGCTTAACCGTTTGTATACCTTCGTGATGCGTCCGCGACATGCCTCACAGGCTCCCACACCCACTATGTCTTCCAGAGCTATGGCAGGCGGCGGCCGAAGAGAAGCTGCACGTCGGTCTGTTTGAGATACAGGTGTGTTCTTGTCCATAGCAGACTCGTGGCGTGTGCAGCCACTTTGATACCTATGTATGCGGGATGAGGTTCGTGTGTCAATATGACGTTCGGCAGGGAGCGGCGGCGGATGCTCCTTCTGGCCCCTGTTACGCCATTCGCTACGGCCCTGGGCCGCGCGCCCTATCACGTCTACTTCCAACTTTAGTTTCTCGCAACGAAGGCCCTACTGCAGCCACAACGGTAGCTCTACAGGTACAAAATTGACACAGAAGGGCGTGATGACATGTAAAGACCGTTGCGATCACTGGCAGAATTGTTCTGGTTGCTTTTGTGGTGGGTTCCAAAATGTCATTTCTCGGTGCATGTCGTGTTTCTTCTAAATGAGGTGATTGGTCGGGAAACGGTTCCGAGAAATTCGGTCGAAGCTTGAATGGCTAAGGATTTTATCTCTTCAATATTCCATCATTTGACGTCACTTAACTAGATTGGCCGGCTTTGGTTCAAGACTTCTTTCGCTTTGAGAATGCTCGGTGTCGCGTCATACCATGTAAGTCCACTCGTGTATAAACGCGTCGTCGTTTGGTAGTCCTTGATCTAATGACATAGAAATTTACCTCCCGCGCTCAAGGCAATGGGCTATAAACTTGGAGGATAACACTATAACCGCACAGTCCTTCGGAATAGATACGGCAGACCCCTTATGCGTAAAGTAACCGTTCTGCAGCCAGTGCGATAAGAACAACCGTCTGCGTTAGGAAGGCGCGGGACAAGTTCAGACGATATCAGCCGAAAGAAGCATTGCCCATGTCTAATCCTACAGGCGGCGACAAAGGTAAGAAAATGGCTATTGAAGGTGGTCAAGGAGTGCAGGCGAAGAAGGAACAAAGCCGTTACCCAGAAGAATTCGAGCGGAGACATAGTCAGACCGAGATACAGTTCGACTATTCTTCTACTACCTTGTCCTCTACTTCAGTCACACCATCGCGTGGCATCCAACAATCACCGGAATCACCGCTCCAGGGTCGAGACTCGAGGATCTCGATGGATGGCATATTCGTACCGCGCCTCCTGCGATGTAACTCCCAGAAGGGCACTCGCTACTCACAAAAGCCCATCCCTCTTACATACGATGAGGCGTTGCTCTTCCACCACTTTATCGCGCATCTCGGTCGCTGGTTTGACTGTACCGACGCCTCGCGCAATTTCATGCTAAGAGTGCCAGAAAAGGCTAGGCAATGCCCTATTCTTTGTCACGCAGTTCTTTGCTTTGCGGGGCGCCATCGCAGGGAAGATAAGACTTCTGAGGCGGCATATCAGCGCTGCATCACTCTGCTTATCGATCGCCTCAATGAGGACTCTGCAAGCTGTGACGATATGTTGCTTTCAGCCGTATTGATATTGCATTTCGCTGACCAGCTCAATGGTGAGCTTTCTACATGTCCATCCGCTTGAGTCCCCACGTTTAACGTTCTCTAGTCCCATCCCGTATGGGTTCGTGCGACAGACATCATTTGGCAGGTACTTCGAGCATTCTCCGTGCTTCACAAGACACTCGTTTCGTCGATCCCTCAGTGCCTACATTCCGTGAGGCTGCCTTCTGGGTTTACGTCCGGCAATGTCTCTACAACGCTACCATTAGCCAGCAACCGCTGGATATTGACTTCTCACTTCAGTTGTATCCTACTCCAGATTCTATGCAAGACTTGCACCCTTTGGCCTGGTTGAGATTGGAGACAGCCTGGAGCAATCAGCTGCTATGGAACACTGCTTTCGTGGCTAACTTTTGCTTCCGAGGTACTGGAACACAGAGCGAGTCAGTTCCCAGAATCCTTCAGTGGCGAGAGCTGTGGGAAACAATACAGACAT